AAACAAAACCCTTTGGGAGCCACTGCCCCAGTTTCTCACTGAATACCCCAAAAATGACCAAGTTCACCACAGAAGCCTCCAGCAGAGGCAGTGACCCCGCACAGCTCTCCAAACCAACACTGACTCTCCTTTAGCTCTTCCTTCCACACAGTCCCCTGATCAGTTTGTGTTCCAGCTCAGCTCAGCTGCACCCAGCACTGCACCTTGCATTTAGAGGAGCCTGTAAAGTTTTCCACCAACAGGTAGACCTGATGAACAATACTCTCTATAATCCACTTACAACCTGGATTTTCTTTAGAAGGCTTTGCAGCCCTACTAATAAGGTACCAGTAGAAGGCAAACCCAAAACATCTCTTGCACTAAAATGTTAAGAAGCAATTGCAAATATGAGTGCAGCAGTGAGAAGGGAAAGTGCCAAGAGCAACCCCAGCCCTACATGCACACACCTCTAGCAAATCATGCAAGTTCAGGGCAAACTGGCTGGGTTTGTGCTTGGGTGGCAATGTCTGGGCAAGGAGCCTGGACTGCTGCTTGCACTAATAAAAAGAGAACTGGCTGAGCTGGAGTGCAGAGCAGCAGCTCAAAGGTGTTGGTTGTCAGTGCCTGCAGGGAGCTGCTGTTGGACAGGCCCTACACACCTGACAGCTTTTGGTTACAGCACAGGGAAGAGGCTCCAGTTCCAGCGAGCTGACAGAGCAGGGTGCAGGCTGGAAGCTGTCACAGGGCAAGCTGGAGTCTGGCATGGAGAGTGACATTCAAACTGCAGCACAAGGAATGCATTTGTTCAGAGGTCAAGGTTACCCAGCTGCACACTTGCTCCAAACTAACAATGGAGTAGCTCATAACTCAGGATCTGAGGGGCTAAAGACAAACAAGCCAGGAGTTAACACTTCATGGTGGGGAGAGCAAGAGCTGCTGCACAATTTAAGCATAACCTCAACTAATAAAGGAAAAAAAAAAGAGTACAAAATGATTGCTGAAAAAGTCTATGAAGATGAGAAAGGCATCAGATGCCCCCAAAACAGAGCATCCAGAATTTGTTGACAGACCTCTGCTTTTAGACCAGAGCTTTAATTATTCAGTGAACTTTTCTGAGAGAGAAAGGATTTTGATAAATTAACTCCAGATATATAATACAGCCAAGGTTACCCCACCAGAGCCAGTAACTGGACTGGTCAGTTAAAGTCAAAAAGCTTTGTCTGTCCAAGTATTTACAGATGACATGTCACAGGGAAGTAACCTAAGCTCCTCCCAGGCTCCTCAGACTAATTCTGTGGTGCGTTTTGTGCAAGTGCTTGGAATCCACCCCCAAAACCATGCCCTTGCTGCTGCTTCTGCAGCATTCAACACAGAAAAGCAAAATAAGGCAGGAAAAAAAGTACAGAAACCTCTGGAAGAGCAGCAAATAGGCAGTGAAACAACCTCCCTGTAAGTAGGTTTCTTCCTTCATCAGAACATGCAGGTTCAGCACTGCCTATCCATCACCACATTCCCATCCTGAGCTGTGCTGAATGAATTGAATGCCTGTAAATTTTTGTCATGGGAGATCAACCACATCTGTTTGTGTTCCACATTCCTGGAAACCTCCCACATAACTTAGAAAGCTTGGAAAATAGTGGATTTGCTCCCAGTTCTGAGGGGAAAGAATTGTCAGTAAAAATAGCTATATTCATGTATTTATTTCCTCTCCCCACAGGCAAATGTCTCATGGATGATGCTCAAGAACTGAACTGAAACATTATTTACACCTTCCCCATCCCCTTTTTCTCCAGCCAGAGGAAAAGTCCTTGCCAAAACCTGACACTTAGTAAGAAGAAAGAAACCAACAGCAGCATCACCAGGTCTGAAAATAAACACCAGGCAGAGGAAATGCAGGAGAAAAGGGGATCTCCTGTCAAAAGCCAAACTCAGGGAAGGTTTGCTCACTGCAGCCCAGGTCACAGCACCCACCAGGCTTTGTTCCAGTCTGCACTGCTGCTTTCAAAAAATGAAAAGTTTTCTCCAGAAAGTGAAAAGTTCTGAGGTGGAATAGGAAGTGGACAACACTTCAGGGCTTTTGCATTTGAAAACACAGATACAGCTGCCCTGTAAAAATAAGTACAAGTCAGTGTGATGTGAAATCCCAGTTCCTACAAACAGACCCAGCAGGACTCAGTAAGGGCTCACAGGAGGCTGTGAACAGCTCCAGTTCCTGTATTTCCTGTGAACAGCTCCAGTTCCTGTATTTCTCTACAGGACTGCTGGCTTAATGCAAACTTGGAGTCATGGAGAAAGATTAGGTCACTCTCATCTCACACAGGTACATTTTTGTAAAGCACTCATCCTTTTTACATATCAAGGCTTGAGTTAAATTCAGAGTAGTGATGTAACACCACATTGCTGCTTTACTCACTACAAATCATTGCTGCCAGACTTTTTTTTAAAATTTCATTTCAAAAGCTTCTTTCCCTACACTTCAGTCTCCTACTCACAGAAGGAAAGGAGGAAGGGGTGGGATGGATTAAGGACCAGGTTATCCCTCCCTGCCCCAGAGACACATCAACCTCTGAAGTGATAAGCACAGAAAGAAAAACTGTACCTTGCAGTGGGCAAACAAACCTTGCAAGCAAAATCTAACCCAAACTTACTGCTTTTACCTTGGCAAGCTGGCTCTGAGTGATAAGTAACTTCAACCTTGGATTTTAGCAGCAGCCATCCTGTAAAGCAACAAAAAGGATTCAAAGCAACAGGATGGAGACAGGTCTGAGCTAACAGAGATCAGAGGCTCTGACTCATTACTGGGAACACACAGCATCCACTTCAGCTTCCCCACAGGAGCAGACTGAAATCAATGTTTCCACAGAGGAACATTGCTTTCAGGAGGAGGATTGTTAGTTCATCCATGCCTAGCTGCAATGTGCAGTGCTGAGGTCACAGCAGGAAAGGCCTTAATTAAAAAATACTTCAGAGAGCAGACGAGCATCCAGAGTACTAACAGGAGGTGAGGACATGAACTTTGTGTAAATGACAACCAAAAATGAACAATACCTGTGAAGTTTAAAAGGTGCTACTTTCCTTTCCTACTCTTTTGAAGATTTGATAATGCATTATAACACAAGTTAGACCTGAAACACCACAAGAACACATCACAATACATTTCCTATTTAAGGTATTTGCAAAAATTCAAATCCAAGTCTATTAATAGACATTGAACTGACAGTGCAAACAAGCTGCTGGTATGAAAAGCAAGTTATAAACATCCATTACTTTCAAAGCACCCATAAGTTAAGCTTTATATAAGCATGGTCAAACAATTCTTGACTGGGTGCCCACCCACAGCACTAAGTTGGGTGCACCTGCACAGGGAGGAGCAGCAGTGCCAGCCCTGCACAGCCCCAGCAGGACAGGCTGATCTGGACACAGACACAAACACACTGAGCGTCCTCACTCCCACCCTGCAGCACCCAAAGGCACCTGGCACACACAGGGCTACTTCAGGGACCAGTCCAAGGCTTCACAATCTGCTCCAAAAGTGAAATGGAGACACATCACAGGCCCCACTGCAGCTTCCAAATCAAATCCATTTCTACTGTGGATATTCCCACCCCACGAGGGACACTGCACACCTACCAGATGCCAACTATACCTCAGGTATGGAAACCACAGAGTTTTAGTCACTCTTCCCCTGCAAGCCTGCTCTCCAGTCACCAGGAGCACAGCAGGCAGTAGCAGGAGAGAATCCACATCACCTCACAGGGCAAACTGGATTATTTGTGCCAACCACAGTGCAGAACTGCTTCCCAAATGCCCAGCACAGCCTCCTGCGAGGGTGAGCACACACACTCTCAGTACTGAACCGTGAGCAGCATCTGCTGGTGCAGCTGCACAACTGCAGGCAAGGATTTTTAAGTATGACAGGGAAAGAATGGCAATGATCTGGTGAGAACAGAGTTTCTGAATTAGCTATGGATCCGTATCATGATATTTAATAACCAAGGTGAATTTCTACCCTATTTCCCATTTCAGAGCTGTTCCATCCTTGGGCTCTAAGCTATCAACATTTACTGGTGTTGACACCAGTGCTAAAACACCATCAGTGTAACACAGAAAGATGCAGCACTCAAACTTCAGGCTGGCTGTGTGGGGGTTTGTTATTGTTGGGATTGTTGGGTTTTTAATTACTTCATGTGCCATTTCATGTAGATCCAAAGCATTAAGCAATTCCAGTCAAAAGCAAATATTAAAAGCAATTCCAGCAAGACTAGGAAGCCTACATGGAAAATAATATCCTCACCCGTTTATTGTTGATTTCACCACTTGGTAACGCAGCTGTTTGGAACTCAGTGTGAATACAATGGAAGCTTTGCAGAAAATCACACACCTGCATTTTTTCACATGTATCAAACACATCTGAAGTTGAAAATGTGTGTGCCTTGACTCGCTCCTCACTTTGTAGGTTTGTCCATTGTCACTGATCCCACAGAGTCCGACTCAGTCTCTCCAGTCAGGTGACAGACAAATTCAAAAGGTGGAGATTTCCCAAAGATGGTCTTCAGTCTGTAGTGCATTGTGCTAGTGCATTCAACCAGTGTGTCAGTGTTCAACCACACAAGCTTGGGGTTGGTTGTTGCTGTTTTTTTAACTACACAATACAGAAATATAATTTTACATGTAGCTTTGCATGCCTTATGGCTGCTTGCCCTACTATAGGACAGTGCAATAAATACAAATATATGCACACTAAAAAAGATTTAACTGCCGTGATCTACGTCTCCTTTATGAGTACAAATTTACCTAGTCAACAATATGACAAATTTAGCAGAGAAAGTGGCAATGGCAGTAATATTCTACTACAAAAACAAGGCTAGAAGCAAAGTGTTCTCAAGCTACAGAAAACTTGCTACCTCCTAATATATGATGTAGGGCCCAGTTCTGCCAAGTGCAGAGTTGTGATCAGTAGATTGCATCAGAACATGCTTTTCCCCCCATTTAACAATGAATACTTCTACAATTTATTTGGTTTTGATAACTGTTTATAAATAGCACACTATAATGACTATTAAACTATACAGCAACATGACATTTATAGCCTAATCCTGAATACAAAGTTCAAAGAACATGACTACAAAGGCCAGAGAGCAAATGGCATCAACTAAAAGCATTTCCACTTCAGAATTTATTGAATGTTCTCTTACACAAACGCTTGTCAATCGTGAAACCAGAGGAACAGGATTTCCTATTCCCTCTCTTCTGCCCCAGTAGCAGTTTAGCCACACATCACCCTTATAAATTAGTGATGGATTTCAACAGGTAGCCCCTTGGGGCTATATATTTTATATACTTTATATATATGCACATTTACTTTGAATTCTATGTAAAAGTTGAAAAAATGTTTGAAAGAAAAACTCAGAATATATCACAGCATTTTCAGCGAAAAAAATACAAATTAGTTTTATAACGACTATTCAATTTATCAAACTTTTTTTTTTCTGAAGTATTTACCTTTAATTATGTACACATTACAGGAAATAAAACTTTGTCCACAAACATTCTCTAAGATGACAGTTATCAATAAAATGATAGAATAATAGCAGGAAGAATATTAAACAAATGGGGGTGATCAATTTCTGCTTTTAAAAAGTAAAAAGTCACCATAGAATTAAGTACAAAAACCTGCATTGAATGACAACTGCTGGTGTAGTAACTTGATCAGGTATGGAGACCAAGAGTATAGTAGAGCCCTATGGTAATAATATTTCTGTAGCATTTCCACTTGGTATGTATATACTAAATGTTGGCAAAGTTTCTGTAGCATTAGCTTATACAAACATAGGAGTCCTCAGTCTGCTGCATAAAAGGGAACAAGAGTGTTTTACTTCTCCTGAAATGCACCTGAAATCCAGAGTGTCACTTACAAACTGCATAATGTAACTTTTCTTCAGAAAAATATCTGTTTGGCATCTCCAGGGCTCTGTTCCATTGGACAATAGGGGCATTTTAACCTGGGGACAAAGACAATGTGTTAGAAGTGGGGCAATGGGTGACACCAGAGCATTAAAGGTACTGAGTTTCCCCCTGCAGCAGGAAACAATTGCACTCCTAAGCCACAACACTTTACCTGCCTCCATGAAAAGTCACCTTTAGCTGAGAGAGACCTTACCATGCTTCCCCTTCTAGTTATAGTCTCTCACCTTTCACCCACAAGCCCCTGAATTATTAAATTATCATAAAGAGCAATTTCTCTGCAGTTATTATTCCTATTTGTGGATTTGCTTGTTGCATTTCAGAATCACAGAATGGTTTGTGCTGGAAGGGACCTTAAGGACCATCCCATTGCACCCCTGCTGCCAAGGGCAGGACCCACTGCACCAGACCCATCCAGCCTGGCCTTGCAGAAATTTTCAATCAGCTGGTGGCTCTCACTGGGGCTTCCTCAATATCCAGTTCATTTTAGTGGCTGGTTCCCAAAATGCTGTGATTTTCCAACCCACTTAGATCAGCTCCTGCAGGCTCTGACTGAAGGGTCAGCCTGCTCTCCCTGCTGAGGTCTCTCATCCAATCCCACCTACCTACAGGATTTCTTCTTTTTGAAGAACCTGATTCTATTTTGAAGCATTGATCCATTTTGCCCCCATCTCCTACATTTGGGCATTTTACCTCCTCCCCCCACCCACCCCTCCAGAGTTAATTTGTCAGAGCTGTGCTGTCAGCAAAACTGATCCAGGAAAGCACCAGCAATGAGTGACCAGGGACAGGAATGATGCAGCAGCAAGGTTACAGCTTCAAATGGCAAAAGTCACCCCAAGTCACCCACAAAGGCATAGAATGCAAACATCACTTGACATTTTCATTCATAGCCTCACTTATTTTCACACTGGATTTCCCAGAATGATTTAGAGCTCTCAGTTAAGCTGACAGCCTCCACAGCAGCTGTATATTTAATCCAAACTACTGTTCTTCCTCAAGAAAATCTGTAGAGATTTGTCTCTCCCATTTCCTTCTCTCCAAAAGCCTGGAGCACCCCACAGATATCTAAAGAGGAGTATTTCCACAGTTATAATTCCCCTCCCTGCTCAATTACTAAGCCATATTTCCCCTAGAGGTTTAATTTTAGTTTTCAACAGATTTTTCATGCATTACTAACCTTGCTCCCAAGGAAAAACTGTGTGTGTAAAGCCTTGCAGTTTGAATTTAAGACAACACAATGGTGGCAACAAAGTGAAAAATTACCCTGCTTGCTGCATTCCTTCATGCAAGCTCACTTTCAACAACATCACAGGGTTTATTATGTTTTTCTCCAGTGCACCAACCCAGCTTATCCAGTTTTCAAGCCATTCTCCAAGATTAACAAGCTTCCACCATAATTAAGAACTCAGTTTTCCCAAAACACATTATTCTAGTCTTAAGATGTGTTCTTATCTGTATGTTGTTTGAAATAAAAGAATGGTACTTACTTGCTGCCATTAAACATTTTATTCAAAGCATCTCTGGATATAATATGACCACAGACTAATTTCATAGGTGGATTATTATCTGTTGTTTGCTGACGAAGAATGGGACAGGCAAATATTGAATGATACCAGCACTTTTTACCGAGGTCCACTTCAATCTGTGAAAGAAATGAACATAATTTATCTCAGGAAATTACATTTCTAGATAAAACCCCTTTAGGTCATGGCAGTTACTTAACAGATTTCACAATTCAGCTGTGAAAGCAACAAAATCCATTGTGTGGATGCCTGACAATTTCCCAGCCAAAAATACTTGATTGTGATCTTAAAGTGGTGATTTATGTTGGGGATGGGGAGTAACAACAAAACAGCATATTCTGCCAAGGGACAAGTGCAAATTTTGTTGTAAATCTATGCTCTGACAGGAAAACTGAGCTGGTGAACCATCAAGACTTTCTGGAATTCACTGGCTAGGAAATAAAAAGTAATTTATAGATTTCATTTTAGGGGGAAATTAAAATAGAGAAAAACTCTTGGATTGACTATATTCATGTTGAACAGCTTCTTGAAAGGCTCTGCCAACACCTTGCTGTCATGTGAATAATGAAGCATATCACAATCACCAATTTTCAGTACCAACACAGAAGATACTTGTGCAGCACAACTCTTGCCATGAGTTATTTCAAAATTACTTCAAAAAGGGACATGTAACAGAGAAGAACAAGTCTGTGACTTCAGTAATTAACTGAGAACTGCAAAAATCACACCAGAGCTCACCTGGCTCTGAGCAGTCCTCTGTTCAAAGGTTTCACCTTCAACAAAACCTGACAATGTGACCTTTTCATGCTACTTAATCTGTCTTTGTACAAGGAAAATAAGGTTTCCCACCCCCATAGTGCATCAGCAGAGGACACTAGAGACCCTTCAGTTTAAAATGCAAGGAGACACACATGGATTATGAACTGATTGGCATCAGACAGGAATCTTTTTCCAAATGCTCCCTGGCTGGACAGCAAGGCAGGAATCTGTCACACTCCCAGCATTACAGAAAACACAGCAGGGACAAAACTCAGCACTCCTTACTCTAGAAATGAATCTCTTCCAGCTGCAGTGCAAGAGGCTAACTCAGTTCATGCCCAGTTTGCACTAAATAAGTTTCCTTTCCAAATCAGGAACAGGTCACTGGAGAGCTGCACACGCTTGGCAGGAGCTATAAAGGGAAACTGGGGTTTCATAACAACTGAACTTCATTTCAAGTGATCTAAATGAGATGTGCTGGGAGCATAATGCACTGCATCCCAGCTCCTGTGTCCCCAGATGCAGCAGTAATTCTTTCATCTCCTGTCTGCCTGATAAAGAGCCAGTGCAAAGCAAGCCCTGAGCTCAAGCCCAGCTAGGGGAAGTGAGTGTGTCTCTGTGGGATCCATTTTCTTTCCAGTTTTACAGAAACATCTCTGGGAAAGTGGAAGCTGAGAGCATCAGTTTCTTTAAGGTCATTTATCAATGACCTTTCCAATTTGAAAGGGGATAACAAGTGAAAGGAGGGGCAACAAACAAAACTGAGAGGCACAAACCTGATGGACAAAAATAATGGAGATAATAACAAGAAACAACCTTGAGAGGTCATCAAGAAACTGCAACCTGTCACAGACATTTCTTCATAGAAATCCTTTCTTTGGGATTTGTCCATCTTCTGGGAAGCAAAGGGCCCCAGAAGAAGAATGTAAACAAATTGTTATCGGCTGCTGTGAAATGTGGCAGGTGATCCTGTGATTGGCTCATTTTGCATGTTTCCAGCTAAGGGCCAATCACAGGAGCAGCTCAGGGGAGATTCCTTTGTTATTCATTCCTTCTATTCTATTCTTGGCATAGCAGCTCTCTGCAAGCTCTCTCTTTATTCTTTTTAGTATAGTTATAATGTATTATATATTATATATCAATAAATCCAGCCTTCTGATCAAGGAACAAGATTCTCGTCCTTCTCTCACCACAGTGACCATCTAAGGTCACTGCAATAGCAACCAAACCTGGACTTTGCAACAAATGTAAACCTGAGGGTCTCTGAGGAGAGGGGATCAGCAGAACTAAAAAACTGTAGGAAGAAAGTGCAGGGGAAGGAGACTGAGGAGGAAAAGCTGGAAAAGGGGGCTGGGGGGTCATGCTGTAATTGAGGATCCATGAGCACGTGTCTGCCTGTGAATGTGGAGTCTGTGCTTTCACTGGTGAATGGCAATCACTTCAGCCAAGGAGCAGGAGGAGATCCTGGCTGTACTTGTGTTTCAGGGCAGTGCTGTGCCTGGGGCAGCCTCTGTGGCTGCCTGGGGGGGTCTGTGAGCCCCAAGCCCCAGAGCTGCTGGAGGTGGTGGCCATGTAAAACATCCTCGAACATGCAGCACAAAAGAAACCTGAAAACAGCATTTGCCATCAGAAATCTGCCCCAGGGGTAGCTCAGCCCCACTCACCGGGAGTTCATCCTTCTGGTTCCACACCCCTGTGCACTGCCTTTGCTCAATTACTGCCTTGATGTTGATTAGAGCTGGTAATGCTACACAACCTGCTGAAAAACTGCAGAAAAAGGCCATGTTAATATGAGGTGCATGTTAGGAAAGCAACACTTTTCACATTTCTATTTTAAAGGTTAACTGGTAGACGAGGTTGGTGTCTTTGTTCATTTACATCTTGTTATACCTGAAGGGAGCTTGGAAGTACAGACAAGCAAGAGTTTTGGGGCAGGTTATCAGTTATCCATGTGCTTTAGGTACTACATTCTGGACAGAAAACAACAGTTAATCCCTCCTCTGAGATTCATATGGAATTGATTTCTTCTACCACCCACTTTGATTTTGAGCTGTACAGGAGGAAGACATCACATTAATGACATTAATTGATACAGGAGGTTGCTCTCAGCTATGGTGGAGTATGTGCAGCACAAGAGTTTCCATGTAACCCACACACACAACCCATAATCCTTTAATTATATATAATTATCATGTAAAGAAATGTGTCTTTCCACCCTCCCCTTAAACCAAGAAAAGAAATGCAGAAAAAGCAGGTAGGTAAGGAAAGGCAGGAAAGCAGGGCCTGTGACAAGAACAGCAGTATAAAACTGCCCAAAGTCTGTGTCCCAGCAAACAGTTCAGCCTCCTCTGGCATTTACCCACTACCAGAACTTAGCACATTATTTGGAAATATTTCAGTATTTTACAAAAGAAAGTATGACAGAGTTTGCCATGAATTAACAGATGAGTTGATGGATTTAATTCAAATGACAGTACTGGAAGCCACCAGCAACAGAAACAGGATTTGACCTTGCTATCAAGCCTGCTCTGCTTGCTTGGCAGATTATTTAAGTATTTGTGCAAGTTTTATTGTCTACATAAGTCATGCCTTTCCTCCATGTGAAACCTGTGGATCTCTTGCCTGTGCTAAAATATATATATATATACACATATAACTACATACATCCATATATATATATATATACACACACACACATATATATATATATATAAATTCTATCTCTCACCTCCTGGCTGTTTTAACCCTTACACTTTGCTTTTTTATTAATTCAGCCCAGAGTATGAGTTGTGTTAACCCTGTGAGAAGTCTAACAAATAGTATTTGTGTGAAAACATCTCTGAAGAGCCCTTTCAGAATATAAAAACTCAAGTCAATAGTAAATTCAAATTCCTGTAGTCCTTCAAGACCCCAAACCACAACCTCCATACCACAGGAGTTTTTCTGCTGTGTCCACACTAAGTTAGACCATGAGGTCTGTACAAGGAGAAGCCAATCAGCACCAAGAAAGTGCCCTCTTCTCATGTTCAATAAAGCAAAATATTTTACAGCAGGGATTTCACTTCAAGCTTGTTTATTCCTAAAGGATCTGCAGCACTCCAAGGTCACACCAGCTGAGAACAGTCCTGTTTATGACAAAAGCATCAACAGCACCTTCACAGTAAATACATTCCAGCACAATCAGTTCCACACCAGGAGCAGAGCAGATGTCCCACTCCAAACATCAGGAACAGGGATTTTCCACAGCACCAAAAGTCTCTTGGCCATGTGCTCTGAAAACTGCATTGCAGCACCAGTGCATGAGCAATGAAAATCTAAGGGAGTGCTGGTTATTTGCATGAAACAAGAGGAAGATGAAAAAAACCATTTAAGCTCTAAATACCTATAAAATACTCCAACTGAAACTTGAAAGATTATTGTAGAAAAATAATGAGTCTGAAGTGCTCCCTGTGTTGTTTCTGTTGTGTTTTGTGACTGAGGTACAAACAGGAAAAGCAAAAGGCTTAACAATGTGAGAGCTCTGAACCAAGCACAGAAGTCTAACAATAGTGAATGGAAACAGTAAAAAGAAAAAAATAAACCCAAAACAAACAAAAAAACCCCAAAGCAGTGAAGCTTCTGCTAAGTACCAAATCCAGCCTAGAAAGACACATATCATTTATTTTCTGTTCAAAGTTTTAAATGAAAATGAGAACATCAGGAGAGTGTGCTGGGGGAACTGACATGCAAAGGCTAAATAGCAGCTGATCTGTTTTATCTTCAAAGAAGCTAGAAGGAGATTAAGTTGGGTTTTCTTCATATTTCCAACAGCCTCCTACAGATTTGCATTTTGTCAGATTAGCTACTGAGTTTAAAAGTGCCTCTTTCTTCTTTGCAAAAGAGGCCCAGCAGACAATTTGGAAATTTTAGCAGCTGAAACCACAACATAACTGTTAAGCATTCTTTTTAAGAAGATGACTAGTAATGTGTGGAAAAAAAAAGGCAAAAAAACAAACAAAATTATCAAATGCTGATGGAATCATGGCCACATTTTCAGGGCCATGCTTTCATGGCCACATTTTCAGGGCACATTTTTCAGCTGAACAGCAGGGACAGCTGTCACACATTTGTTGTGGGAATAACTGGCTGATGGCCATCCCCATCTTTAGCAGTTATGTCTAAGCTATGGAAGATAAATTCCATCCAGGAATGCTTCCTCTTGAGGTGCAGGGTAAAGTCCAGCACACAGGAACCTCTGGTTTTTCATTTTGCAGACTTGTCAAGTCCAGCACACAGGAACCTCTGGTTTTTAATTTTGCAGACTTGTCAAGTCCAGCACACAGGAACCTCTGGTTTTTAATTTTGCAGACTTGTCAATTGTAACTCTACCCTGCATTTAAAGCGAGCTAGTCAAAAAGTCATTTCTTTTGTCCTTAACAAAAACCAGGAACCAAACCAGGCAGTAGCTGTCTGAAAAGCAAGAGAAAAGCAGCATACCTAACACTGAGAGGGGATTCCACAGAGAGCCCCAGGAGAGCACAGGCGTCCCTGGTGAAGATGTCACAGATGTCAGCCCACTGGTTGGCATCCAGGAGGTGAACGTAGGGCGAGTTCTCGATGCCCTGCCGCAGGTACACCAGGCTGCCCATCAGAACCTGGATATCTGCCAGGGAGCAGCAACAGCACAGTTTGTGAACAAACAGGAGAAGGGCTCTGCAGCTGGAGCACCACATGGAAAACAGGCAGATACACACAAACAATGACAGCCATGACAGCCATGACAGCTCCACTCCTGCTGCTTTTTGGCTGGGGAGTTGCCAGGGTGTGCTGCCTGGGAGTTTGCTTCTAGCAGGTTTGGTTTTTTGTAAGCTTTCTGACACACACAGTACCCTAAAAAATAGGCTTTGTTGGATTCAGCTTGAGATGGTTCATTTAACTCACATGATCTCCATTTTTCAAAAGTTTAATTTCTCTTTGTATTACCCCACGCAGCAGAAAATAGCAGATGACTATTCCAAGAACATTCCTCTGCATTTTTAGCACTTGACTCTGGCAGCAGGCCTATTCTAGATGTAATCTACATTTTATTTAAAGAGTCAAAAACCTTAAATTTAAGCAAATGTGCAATCATTCAGGTATTATTTCTGAGCCCTCTTAAAAAAGACAAAAGAAGATAATTGTAATTGAAAGGATCTGGGTTATACATGATAAATCCAAAATGAAGCCTTTAACAAACGGAAAATAATGGAGTAAAACATATTTGGAACACATTTTACTCCGAGGTGCCATATCCCAATGCTTTAATGTGACCAAAAATGTACCTTTCTGATGATTCAGGGCAAAGGGCTGGAAGTTTTTGGCATACTGCAGTGCTTCTCTTTGATTTGCTGTGCCACCCATCAATAAACTGATGAAATACAACCTGTGCAGTTTGAATTCCAGGGAGCTGTTCTGTGCCATCAGCATCTCTCTGTTGGAGACCGCCCACCTGCAGGAAGGAGGAGGCACAATGGGATGTGACACCTGAGCAATTCAATGGGAGCCCACAGCACATGAAATCACTGCAATTATCCATTAGCCACAGCTATTCCAAGCAAAGTGGGACTGGTCCTGAACTTCTGAGAGCCTCCACAGAGCACAGAAAATGGCAAGGCCCTTTACAAGGGATGGAGCCACACAGGGTGCACAAAATGTGGACGGTGTTAATGCTGGTGCTGCTGTAGAGGTTGAGCACTGCAAAATTCAGTGTTCACTGCTTGAAAGGCAGGACTAAATTAGGCACAATGTAAGGCAGAAATAGCTCAAGTCTATTGTATTTCAATTAATAGCACTCTGAATCTTAACAATGACTGACAGCTCTTCAGCTGCACGTCAAGAAGTTGGACCAAGAACATTTTCCAACGTCCTCATGCACCAAACACGTCCAAGGCACTGTGTTTGTGTGTGTGCAGCTGCTGCCCTGGAGAGGGAACTGCATCTGTGGGACCACATTATCAACATCTCACAGTGGGGGAAGGAAATCAGTTTAAATATTACACTTTACCCTGCTTAAACTTTGCTTTCTGAGTTATTTTCAACTTGGATAATAAAAATATTTCTCATTTTCTGTGTCTCTTTCACCATGACAACACTAATGTTTGGCTCCTAAATAACATGAAAGAATTCTTAAACATACAGAGAGTAAAATGAACTGAAATTTTCAAAGCATTTTATGCAAGTTTTTCTTTATTATTTAGAATTTATCCATCCCTTTCTTGGTTTTTTTTGGTGGTGTTTTTTTTCCCCTTGATTCCATTTAGCCAGGCCTAAATCAATCCAATCTTTCTCTTAAGAACCTCAAGTTTCAATGTCCTCCAGTACATCTGTTTCTCATTAGTGTTAATTAGTTCTACTATTTTCACTGTGGGGGCCCTATTAAGCAAAAAGCTTTTCACTTTTTAGCAAGGAAGTGAGGAAGTCTGTGCTCCTTAAAAAAAAACCAGGGTATGTGAGGCTTCTTTTCAATCAATAGGAAAATGAGAAAATTAAGCATTCTTACTGTATTGGGAAGGCTTTCAAAGCAGGGCAGCCTCCTGCATTAGGATGTGGCATTAATGAGCAAGGATCCAGTTTCAGTTTGTAATGGTGGAAGTGTCAGGAGCCTGAATTCCCTGGCAAGGCTTTGGAAAGACACAGTGACCTTTCAGTAGGGAACAGTGGAAAATGGAGCCTTTGAACTGAAAACAAGCCCTACTGTCCCCAGCTTCAGGCAGTTTCAGATTTTCCTGCAGCTCCACCAGGAAGGAGTGAAGAGCACACTCACCAGCCATGGGTGCTGAGTGGTTTTGGGGTGCTTTCATAAGTTGGGGGTATATTTGTATTTTTATGATCAGTGTGCACAGTTTAAACAGGATATCATGGCAATAAAGTACAATGCCAGCTACAAAAACAAGAGCCTGAGGTTAACAACCATAGACTAATAAGCAGATGAAGGACAAAATCTATTATAAATAAACACTAAGATTAGTCCACAAAGAGATATTAATCTCTATTGCATCAAAAGGGCCTCCATCCTCTCCCTGCCAATATTTGCACCCACATGACAGAGTACTTCATCTTGCTGAGGTCAAGTCTATTTTTCCAAATTAGCTTTTAGGCAGGCTTTCCATTTTTAGGTCTTTGAGTGGCAGCACAAATTTGTATCAGAAGAAAGCAACCCCAGAGGCAAGGCCTGAGGTGCTCAGTCTGGGACAGGCTGTTCCTATTTCCAACAGAAAAACAAAAAACCAGCAAGGGAGGTTTAAAACACTCAATCCACAGATTCTCTACAGCTGCCCAAAATTATCAGTAATCACATCACCTGTCTTCCTACCTCTTCTCAAAATGACACCCAGTCATTTTCACTTCTGAGACTCAAATCCATCTGAATTTTTTTTAAGTTTACATTGTACTTTGCAAACCACGGGTACACAGGATTCCCCTCAGCTCCCACACTGGATTTAGATGTTAAAATGAATTTAACAAAGCCTAAAGATTAAATTAAGTTTAAATCATACCTCAAAGGACCCAGCAAATACCAGGACCTGTGCAACTTGCTGTTTACAGGCAGAAGTGAAGAGAGCATCTCTTTTCCAAATTACAGCCAAATCTTTGAACCTCCAAGTCATTTCCACAGGAGGAAATCACACAGAGGCCCAACCTGGGCTCTGAAGGGCCAGAATACACCCTGACAAATAACTGCATTTCTTTTCCCACCACCAAACCACAGTGAGAAATGTCACTGTTAGTTCATGGCACACAGAGATTACACAGCTCAGAGTGCAAGGCCAGACTAGGCCTCTACAAAAGTCAACTTCCACATCCCACAAGGGAAAACAAAAAAGTTATGGCCAGTCACATTCTATTTAAATCTGAAAGGTGAACTGCTGAAATTTGTATTAGAAAGAAAACCTGGATAACAAATACTGTTAGGGTCTTTTTTTGAGACACAAATACTGATTTCCATCACCTCAGCAGAGTTTTGAAGTCCTTTTGAAAAGTCATTTATTTGACAATTCCCTTCCCATGGCAGTGACCTGGAGCCACCTGTGTTTGTTTTGTTTCCAGCCCTGAGTGAAGCTGAGCACAGACAGAGCCAGAGAAACTGGTTGGCTTTTAATCCCAGCTTTTCCCAATTTCACATGGATAAAACCTGCTATACCCCACTTCCTGCTTCAGGAGACTCTAATTAATCATCCTTGTGTGACATTTTGCCTCAACACCACTGTGAGCAGCCTGACCCTGCAAAGGGCCAGTCTGGGGCTGTTCCAGGCTGAACTTTTATTCACTGGTGCCAATTTTAGCCCAAGGAGCACAGGGGCACTTGCTGTCACATGGAGGCAAAATGTCACACAGCACTGCTTCCTATCCCTCCCCTGAACACCTGTGTCTGCCAGGAAATGAAAGGGAAATACCTTCACAACATCAGCAGCTCTGTAAAATTGGGAAAAGCTGGGATTAAAAGCCAACCAGTTTCTCTGGCTCTG